ATAGGTAAATATGGTACTGGCAACCTCCCACAACAACATCAAAATTACAACTACACTACAGAACAACCATCATTCAGAACCTCCTGAATGAAAGTCCTACAACTAAGGATATAAAACAGAGGTCACATACAAACTGGTAGGCAGAGCAGAGACACAGAATAGGCTGGTCCCATACCACATGTGGCTTTTAAAAATCAGCAGAGATATCTTAATTGTGTAAGTCCTACCAGAGGAGTAAGGGGTTGCATCCCCACATAAGGCACCTAAGCCCAGGGTTCCAGTGCCAGGAAGAGAAGTCCTTCTCTCAGTCAGCCTTCTGGCTGTGAAAAAAAAAAAGTGGGGACTGTAGCTGAATAAGACAGAGCACTGCTGATTACTGAGGCGCTCCTCTTAAAGGGCCCACACAGCCATACTCAGACTCACTCCCTCTGAGCTCCAACACTCAGGCAGCAGCTTGAAAGGCACTGGGGACACATAGGGAGGAACTGAACTGTCTGGCATCAGGGCAAGAGCTGGTGAGGGTGCAGCTTTCTCCCAGACAGAAGTGCTGGAAGAGACCACTGTGCCTTTTCTGAGCCCTCTCCCACACAGAACTGGCAGGGGGGTGCCACATCTGAGACTCTATCAGCCTAACTAACACTGTTAGCCCTGCCCTGGTGATTCCAAGACCCCGCCCAACCCAACTTGTGAGCCCACCCAAGCTGTTTCCAGTGGCTTTTCCATACAAATGGCCCTTCCTGCTCATGCTTAAGACTTTCCTACAATCCCGAAATAAGCATCATCTGGCCTCAGCGTGCCCTTCATCTCTTGCTAAGTGGCCCCAGCCCCGTAACAGTGGCAGCTGGCCTTGGTTCACAGATTGACCTCTCTTGTGCACCTCCAACACCAGCACAAGTAGCAGCCACTAGCAGACTGCTTTGCAGCTCAGGCCAGGTGGCTCCAGGTAGAATGTGGGCAGTGACTAACCTTGGTCTGTACCTCCCAGGAGGCCCCAAAACCAAATACCCAGTGGAGAATTTTAGACCACGTTCAAATCACCCTACTACCTCCACAAGCAACACACTCGAGGGGCAGACTCAGGGGGTACCAGAGCCCCAGTGAAGTAAGTCCTGCTCTATGGTTTTGATCCCTGCCTAGCTGATCCTCCATGGTGGTAGCAGCCAGTCTACAGCTGATCCACCTGGGGTATAAGAAATCCCTCCCACCACCTTGACTGGTATAGCTCAGTTGATTGAGTACTGGCCTGTGAACCAAAGGGTTGCCAGTTTGATTCCCAGTCTATGGCACATGACCAGGTTGCATGCCAGGTTCCCAGTAGAGAGAGCACGAGTGGCAGCAACACATTGATATTTTTCTCCCTCTCTCCCCCTCTGTCTAAAAATAAATATATAAAAGGAAGCATAATGCATTAAGAAAAAAATCCCTCCCACTGACGTGCCAACAGTAATCAAGGCTCAACTACAACAGGAAGGTATACACAGCCCACACAAGAGGCATACCTAAAGTGCCCTGCTCAAGTAAACAGGGAGGCTGCTACACTGGACCCTATAGAACAAGTACTACATTAGGCCACCCTAACAAGACAGGGAGGTGTAGCAGCTCTACCTAATACATAAGAACAAACACAGGGACGCTGCCAAAATAAGGAGACAAAGAAACATGTCCCAAACGAAAGGACAGAAATCCAGAAAAAAAACTAAAAGTGGAGACAAGCAATCTACCAGATGCAGAGTTCAAAACATAAGGATGCTCAATGAACTTAAGGAAAAAGCAGATGAACTGGGAAAGAACCTCATCAGCATAAAAAAGGGCATGAAAACCATAAAGAAGAATTAGATATGAAGGATACACTAACTGAAAAGAAAAAATTTACAGGGGATCAACAGAAGAGATGAAGCCAAGGATCAAAACATTAATTTGGAATATAAAGAAGCAAAAAACACCCAGTCAAAACAACAACAAGAAAAAGAATCCAAAAAAAAAAAAAAAAGAGGATAGTGTAAGGAACTTTTAGAACAACTTCAATAATACCAACATTTGCACCACAGGGGTGCCAGAAGGAGAAGAGAAAGAGCAAGAAATTAAAAACCTACTTGAGAAAGTGACAGAGCACTTCCCTAATCAGGTGAAGGAAATAAAACATACAAGTCCCGGAAGAGCAGAGAGTCCCAAACAAGATAAGCCCAAAGAGGCAAAAACCAAAACACATCATAGTTAAAATGTCAAAAGTTAAAGACAAAGAGAGAATCTTAAAAGAAGAAAGAGAAGAGCAGTTAGTTTCCTAAAAGGGAGCTCCCATAACACTCATCTGACTTCTCAACAGAAACTTTGCAAGCCTGAAGGTACTAGCAAAAAATATTTAAAGTGATAAAAAACAAGGAATTGAAGGACATAAAAAGAGCTTCCCAGACAAAGAAAAGCTAAAGAAGTTCATCATCACCAAACCAGTATTACTTGAAATATTAAAGGGTTTTCTTTAAGAAAATGAAGAAGAAAACAGACTAAAAAATATAAACTGTAAAGTGGCAATAAATACATATCTATCAACAATTGAATTTTAAAAACAAAATAAATGAACAAGCATAACAGAAACACTCACAGATACAAAGAGCATTTTGAGGAGGATTGGGGGATGGGTTAAAAAGGTGAAGGGGTTAAGAAGTACAAATTGATAGTCACAGAATAATCATGAAGATATAAAGTACAGCATAGGAATACAGTCAATAATATCGTAATAACTATGTATTATATCAAATGGGTACAAGATTTATTGAGTAATATAATGTTTAATAATTCAAGTATATACCTATAACTAGTAAAATATGGTATGTCAACTGTAATTAAAAAAGAAAAAAATACATGTTAAAACAGCCTAAATAACAATGTGAATGTACTTAATGACACAGAACTGTTCACTTAAAATGCTTAAATGGTAAATTTAAGTGATTATATTTTTACAGCAATTTTTCAAACTTTGAAAATATGCTGAGCCTAAACTATCTATTTTACAAAAAGCAGACTACCAAAACTCACATCTGTATATTTTCAGTATATTAGGTTGTGTTTATGATAGAGATCTGATCAGATCACTGGGGAAAGGTAGGGAGGGCCTGTGGGAGGAGTTTGCTGAGGCATTGGTAAACAGTCTAGGCCGGGACTGGCTGCCACTGGCTCTTGGCTCTCTTCCTCGAGGATGCCTAAGTGATAGAATTTCCCAGTGGATGGTATTATGGATGGGAAGGAACTCCGGGCTCACTGTAGGGTCAGGATGGCCTGATAGAGGGTGGCAGTATTATTCTTCATTCGGTGTTCTAAAGGGAAAGACCTCTGAGGCAGAAGCCTGCCACTGTTCCAAAATTGTGTAGCTTTTGTATCTTATGTTGTTTTAGTTTGTAAACTAACCATACAGAAGATAAAAACAAGCAAGTGGAATGACAGGAGAAATCAGGTGTTAGAGTTTAGCCTTAATTGATAGGTTTAAGTGATTAAAGCTGTGACTTGACAGTCTTAAGTGACTGCTTTTGAATAAGATTCCTTTAGCACTAAACCCCTGCCTCTTGAATTTTTGTCTAGAGTGTGGCAGCAGGCTGCAGGATGCCAATTGCTATTCGGTAACAATTACACTTCCCATTTATACATATATGATGAAATAATTGAGTATTCTCACCCAAAATTTCATTGTCAAATAAGTTTTCTTTTTATACTCTGGTAAGTCCTATGTACAATTATAAGTGAAGAGACAGTACAGGATATTCACTTATGAGATGGTGACAATTTTTTTCATGTGTGTATTTCTTTGGCAGAAAAAAATCAAGATTAGGCAAAAGAGGAAGTAGTAAGAACAAGTGAATGAATAAGTGAATGAGTAGGTAAGTATGTATACATACACATGTGTAAGGTATATACATCATTTTTAATCCAAAGGCACAAAATACCAAAAAAGTTATTCTAGATTCTCATAACCCAAATCCTATAGATCAATATAGTCTAAAATAAATGAAATTTGAATTTAAGCTCTTACATAACCCTCACCACATCCTTGGGTAAAAGTACAAGAAACAAAGAGCCTCCTCAACATTTGCTAAGTGTCCCAACTTTACATATAACTTCTAAGCACGACAGCAAAGGGGAGAGTCTAATGGTCTCAGAGAAGGGCAGAATGAAGGCTTCTTGACCAAGAACCCTAGATAACTCAGAATGCAACAGATCCAGCAATAGCACTAGTCAGATCAAACAGCTAAGAAAAACTTTAAGATTCTAGCTGACTCCCAAAAATGATTATAAATATTCTGAAGACCAGGAATAAAATCACAAGTTGGTCCTCTAGGAAAGGGACTGTCAAATTTCAGAGGAACAGTTTATCCTGAGCAGAGTTGACTAAAGAATTCACAACATTCCCAAGCTTCCATAAACATGAAAACAGTTTGACAAACTGTAATTATCTTTCATGAGCAGTTAATTCTGCCAGTCTAGGAAATGGGCATAGGCAGCGAATAATCTCCTTCCTTAAAGCTTATTGGGGTGGGGGAGATAAGGGGTAGTACACAGAAAAAAACTGCATAAATTTTATTTCTCCTAGGTTGCTAGAATGACATCCACACAGACACACAAATAAAAGTTTAAAGTATTTATACATTATTTTCTAAGCCAGTTCTGAAAAGCATGTAAATTTTTTATTTTTAAATATTCATTCAGTAGTGAAAGAAAGGCATGGTATTCATACCACAATATTAGTCTAGGATTCAAATAGTTCAATTACTGAATAATTATTTCAAGTTTTAATAGCTTCCCGAATATAGCCTATTCAACAAGCAAAATTCTGCCCCAAGTTTGGTATAATACATAACTAATACTACATAAATGTTCTATGAAAATTGTAATGCTACTTACTAACCAAGAAAATAATTCTTGAAGAAATTATCTTTATGAGCATTTTGCTACCCAAAATATTTACTAGATAAATAAGTTATGTTAGGTTAATGTAATATAAAAATGCTTACCTTGACACCATGGCCCACATCATCCAGAACTGTATAGTCAATAGGTTTCCGAATATACCTTACAGGTCGCTCCATATTTGCAGGTGCTATTATTTTGTGAGTTCTTGATGTATTCTTGTTTGTTGTCAAAATACCAATCTCTCTTCGAGCCACTTTCTCTTTATGAATGTCCACCGTCTGTATTTTAATATAAACAATGCAAGAAAGTATCAGGCACAGTAAATAATAAGTATGATGTCCATATACATTGGATCATATATAGATTAGACCATGTGACTGTATTACATGTCTATTTTCCAGTGAATACTGTATCTTTCCCTTCAAAATAAAGCAAATTAATATCCTCAAGGCTCAAAACAAGGAATATCTTAAGGGTAATTAAAAGTAGAAATTAAATTAATGGATTTGATCCCAAAGCAATTTTTTTCCCTAAAGATTTGGTGTTTGTGGGAAGGGTGGGGGGGGTCATGCTCTGAGTGGCTTACACTTTATGAATTGAGAATGCAGACCAGAAAAAAAAATCAGTAATTGGAACACAATGCAGTAAGAGCATAGTGACCCATGCACAGTTTATTAGAAATTAAAGGTGTTCAGAGCAAGATACCAAATTAGACTGAGATGGGTTCACATAAAGGCTCCATAAAGTAAGTAGAGGTTTTTATTTCTTTTTTTAAGATTGTATTTACTTTTAAACAGAAGAGAAGGGAAGGAAAAAGATAAGGAGAAAAAGAGGGAGAGAAACATCAATGTGTGGTTGCTCTCACATGCCCCCTACTAAGGACCTGGCCTGCAACCAAGGCATGTGCCCTAGGATGGGAATCGAACCACCAACCCTTTGGCTCACAGCCTGGTGCTAAATCCACTGAGCCACACCAGCCAGGGCTATAGACGAGGTAGGTTTTTAAGAATTAAAAGAAAAGGCAAATATGGAAATGATTCAAGGAAGAAAGAACTACACATTGCAGACAACAGTATAAGAGAAAAGATAAGAGCACAGGTCACACAGACTACCTAATACTAGTCTTTATGGCTTAAAAAAATTTTTTTAATTTACCTGATAACATTTATGAACACAACAGTAGTTAGCACACAGATGTAATTACAAAACTGCTCAACTATTTAAACTTTGCCCTAATAGTAATGGGGAACCAATAACAAATTTAAATTGAATGACATAAGGAGATCTGCATTTTAAAAGAGCCCTCTGGCACAGGTGTCAAGGATAAACAGAACAAGACTACAAACCAGGGAGACCAGCTAGGCAATTATGGTAGTCCAGGTGAAAAAGATCAAGGATGTGAACTGAACTAAGGAAAGGGGGTAAAGGGTAGTGTCAGGAAAAAAAAGTTTAATACTAATGTTCAGTTAAGATTCTATTTCACCAGAATTTTAAAAACTGACTGGAAAGAACCTGTAATCAAAAATGTTTTCCCAACTCCAAATAAGATACAGAAGGACAACTCTCCCTGGGTATTTAGCACTTTTGCACACCTTGCAAAAGAAGACACTTTGATTCCCTTTGCTCTGGATATTTACATACAAACAGCCTTAGAAGATACAGTGTCACCCTGGAAAGAAAAATGCAGGTTTATTTCTTGTCCAGTATAATAAAGAGAATGTTATCCCCCAGGGCAAAGGTAAGGAAGGCTTATTGCTCTGTTATAAAAGATCTGGTCCCCTAAGCTAGGAGTTCCTTTCTTTTAATACATGCAATTCAGAGTGCAACATCACTTAGCTCTTTGCAGAATTCTATAAAAATTTGGTCTGGTTAACTGGCACAAATGCTGACACTCTGACTACACTGCTATTGCCACAAATAATGAAGTCCTTTGTATAACCCAAAAGTCTCATGTGTCCTAACAGTATCCATGACATTGTGGCAGGCTAACTGGTGAGCTTGTACAAAGGGTGAAATTTCAAACCCTTCAAAATTTTTGACAGTTTTGACAATGAGGATGGAATCTGACAGAGACAAAGCTTTTTAGAATGAGAGACTAGTTAACAGAAATTGAGAGAAGTCCACGGGAACTGTGAGTCAATGTATTGACCAAACTATACAGTCAACCAAGCAATGGATGGTCCTCCATTTTATCACCTGTTAATGAGGCTGAATTGAGGAGGTAGTTTCAGGCTGAGGACCCATAAGTAGATTCAAAGACAGCAGTCTGAATAATGCCTCACTCACTGTCAAGTCTCTACACCAAACTGATAGCAGGTCTCAGCAGGTCTGCTCTGTGAGCAACTAGTACTAAGATTTGTCTGGTGGAGAGAACAGAGGACGTAAGGTTGTTTCCCCTACAAAGAACCGTGTCTACACTGGCTGTGAAAGGCAGAAAGCTGCAGCCACTATGATCAGAATCAGAAAAATCTTTAGAACTTGGGCTAATTTGTTTGGGAGATTTGGGGTAGGGTACATAGGCTTGTTAAAGAAGAAAGGCAACAGCTGTTTATCTTATTGCTCAGCCCCTCCTGTAGTCTATCTTGTCAATATTCAATCCACTGAATGAGTAAAAGGCGTATTTTCTGGCAGTGGGTCTTGTCTTCTATAGAAGAGCTGTGGCCCCCTTGCAGAAATTTCTGAGACAAACTCAGTATACTGAAGTGGGTTGAAAATGAAGACGAAGGTGATTTCACTGAAGAATGAGAAACTCATCCAAAGAAATCTAGATGAATTCTTGCTATCAGCCCTGCCAGCCTTAGAAAGCTACCCTAAATCCTTATGTAGAAATCAAGTAAGAATTTAAAAGATGGTATTTTGACAGTGGAGCAACAAACAGCCCAAGTTAGGTGTATTCCTAAAAATAATGATACCACTGCATATCAAGCCCAAGTCAGCCAAAATGCACAAACCCATGGCTGCATCAGAAAGCAACGTGGCTGTAGATGTTGAATAAAGGTGTCCCCAAACAAAAATGGACAATGTCAGTAATGATGGCCTTGCTGCAGAATACAAGACTTCAGGTAGACCAAAAACAACATGGGTTTATTTGGTTGATCGGCACTGGGCTACAGTACCACTCAACGTGGAAGTCAATGTACCTTGTTTACTCATGTAGAACAGCTCTCTCCCAACCCCTCTGGTACACCCCAACCTCAGCTGCTTTTAAGAGAAAGATGAACAGGGGTTTGGTCAAGCTACCCCAGTCTCCAAGGGGAATAAAGGACCAAGAAAACCTGGGTATTAGATCACTCTGGGGAGGGGAGGGACTCAATATTTTACAACTCTATAAGATACCCACCTATGGATATAGAAAAAGAAAACACTAATTCGAAAAGATATATATGCACCATCCCATGCTCAATGAAGCACTATTTACAACAGCCAAGATATGGAAACAACCTAAATGTCCATCAATGGATGAATGGTTGAAGAAACACACAGAATAGAACAGTATTTAGCCATAAAAAAAATCTTGCCATGTGTAACACCACATATGGACATTGAGGGCATTATTGAAGTAAGTCAGACAGAAAGACAAATACTGTGTGATATCACTTATATGTAGAATCTAAAAAAACAAGTAACAACAAGGACAAAAATAAGCTCATAAATAGAGAGAATGGTTGGTGGATGCCAGAAGGGAGAGGTTGGTCAAAAGGGGTTAAGGGAGTCAAAAGGCAAAAACTTCATTATAAAGTAAGTAAGTTATGAGGATGTAATGTACAACATAGCAACTATTATTTAATAATACTGTATTGAATATTTGAAAGTTGCTAAGAGGGTAAATTTTAAAGAGTTCTCATCATAAGAAATTTTATAATTATATATGGAACAAATGTTAACTAACTAGACTTATTGTGGTGATCACTTCATAATATATACAAATATTGAATCATTATGTTGTGCACCTGAAACTAACACATATTGTATGTCTATTATTATACCTCTATTTTTTTAAAAAAGAAAATACATACATACATAATAAAATCTGTTTCCTTCTGCTTCCATTACTTTAATCCCAGTCAATCTACTATAATCGCTCAACCTGGTTATTACAACAGCAGTCTAACTGATCCATCTGCACCCAGTCTAGCCTCTTGCAACCTGTTCTCCATTGTGTAACCATGGTGATCTCTAGAAAAACAGTTCAAAGATATATGCACCCCTATGTTCACTGCAGCATTATTCACAGAACCCAAGACATGGAAACAACTGAAGTGTCCTTCAACAGATGATCAGATAAAGATATGGTCCATATATAAAATGGAATACTACTCAGGCATAAAAGCTGAAATACCACCATTTGTGACAACATGGATGAACCTTGAGAATATCATGCTAAGCGAAGTCAGAAAGAAAAATTTAAGAACCATATGATTTCACTCATATGTGTGATATAAAACTGAAAGCAACAAATGAACAAACAGGAAAAACAATCAAAAACTCATAGGCAGAGAAAACAGTATGAGGGTTACCAGAGGATAGTAATGGTTAAAAGGGGTCATACATATGGTGAAGATTTGACTTTAGATTGTGGAAACACAATGCAAGATACACATGAAGTATCATGGAATTATACACTTGAAACTCATATAATCTTATTAACTGATGTTGAGGCAGGAGATAGGAAGGAAGAAACTCAGGATGTACCCCAGGGCTAAGATAAAGGACATCCATACAGGACAGAGACCCTGTTCTAAGACCAGTTGTTCCTGATTTCTGGAAAAGCGCTGACTCATGGTGACTCACCTGCACAGGAGATGCTACATGACCCCTGCTTCTTTATAATATCATTATAAAAAATTAACATTGTGCAACTTCCTTCTCCAGTGGCCAATCAAGGAAAATCATGGGAGACCACATGCACGGTAGCTTTAAAGTAATACAACTACTTGTACATAGGTAATAAAAGCCCGCCAAAACTAGCAAGGAATGATTCACCCTGTAAGAACAGAATCCCTCCAGCCCCTGAAGTCAGTCTCTGCTCGGAGTAGGCCTGCTCTCATGTTCTGCGGAGTGTACTCACTTAATAAATCTGCTCTCTCTCTGTCTGCTATAAACTCTGTTCGGTTCAATTCTTTGTCCACAATCACCAAGCACCTGGCTACCTGTGTCTACCTGTGACAATGTCACCCCCATAAATTTACTTTTTTTAAAAAAGAGTAAACTTGAGAAAACAAAATGAAAAAAATTTAAAGACATCTCAACTGCTTAAATCCTTTTAAAAGAACATCCC